AATAACATGTATATATTGTGGATTGTAAATATTTTCAGATTTCTGTTGGCTCTTGAGTAATATTTCCTACATATCAACACATAGAGCAGATAATTTCTCTATAGTTATTAAAATATAAAAGATTTTGGGTTAATTAATTGCCATTTTTTAAGTATATACATTTTTCAATGAGAGCTTTGTGTTTATGAAACTTATATTTTCTTATTCTTAGGTGTTCCTGAGTCTGTCTACCTAAATGCCTTCAAGAATTAGTTGTCATTTGGGCCATGATTTTATGCAGTTTTGAACATTGTACTGATCAAGGACATACATATTCTACCATTGACTGATTTTATCCATGCAAATGACTTTTATTATCAGTTGGCCAGAAAATTTGGTTTCATTTCAGTTTTGAGTAATGTTTTATTTATTGATACATATTCATACATAGAAAATAGAATTTGTTCACATTTATGATCTGATACGTATTTCAATACATATTTAAGTGAATTTGTTCATGATTTTCCACTGAGAAAGAAAAACTTAAATAATTTTCTTGGGTCTGGCTATTCTTTCATTTTGGCTGATTTTATCCATGTAAAGGACTTTTATTATCAGTTGGCCAGAAAATTTGGTTTCATTTCAGTTTTGAGTAATGTTTTATTTATTGATACATATTCATACATAGAAAATAGAATTTGTTCACATTTATACTCTGATACGTATTTCAATACATATTTAAGTGAATTTTTTCATGATTTTCAACTGAAAGAGACAAATTGTAATTATTTTTTTGGAACTTATTCTTTCAATCTGGATATTGCAATGATGTGGCAAACATTGATAATATAACTATAAATATTTTATGATTGTGGGATATTTCATATTTCCCTTAATGATTATTAATAAAGGTTTACTACAAAAACTGTTTCAGGGGCAGGGGCAGCAGTACTGTCATTCACTACAATTTTGTTTGTATGACTTTTGAACATTTATTTATATAATATAGAAACAGTCTGAACCAGATTAGGTGGGGCAACATCTCATTGTTAGAGTTTTTGATAGGGACGTCAAGACAAATCGATTGGTGGTATTGGTTATGAGGTATCACCTAGTAATGATGTCACTATGACCGGCTGAAGTTTTGGCACTTTTCAGTACTGTGTCCTATATAGCCACTTTAAAGTTCCTATACAGTATATTGTATATACAGTATATAGTGCATTTGTTATAGGATTTTCATATACATTTAGGCCCATTTGCTTCTTTGTTTACTTTAGCTCACTTTAATAGGCAAATAGCAGGTATTTTTATGGTTCGAAACAAACGGAAGTAAATTTCGATCCTTCTGCCTTCTATTTGGAGTAAGAAGGTACATTTCCTATAGGGCTTTCCTATACATTTAGGCCCATTTGTTTACATTAGGCCCATTTTACAGGCAGATAGAAGGTTCTTCAAGGGTTCTCATTGCAACGCTGTATTTATAGATCCTACTTCCTGGATGGGGTAGGGGTACACATTGGTTGTCGGAGGGGTGAATGAGGGGTAGGGGTGGGGGGAGGGGCTAATAGGGAGGGGAGAGAGGACTTTTTGGGAATATAATCAAAACTCTCTGATACACGGTTTATAATAGGGTCCACTACTCTTGTGACAGCACAAAGACAGTTGCGGGTTCACACCACTCCCCCCACCCCCTTTTTTATTCCCCTGGGGATGTTCCACTGAGATTAGAGAGTGGTGTGTTGATTAAGCGACTGTCTATATATTCATGTTAGAAATTTTGGAAAAGTGTTTTTTGCGAATAACTTTTGAACCGCAAGTGGGAATCGAAAAATTCTTTTTTTAGAAGGCGTATCTGTAAGAGGCCCTAGTCGAATACGAAATCTGGGAGTTGGGGTAACGGGGTAAGGTGGGGTAAACCCCAAAAAACATGTGTCACGGGGGTGGAAAAAAACGGCCAAAAACAGGTTTTTCGTGAATAACTCGAAAACGAAAGGGGGTATCGAAACGGGGTTTGCGGGAGGTCGTAGAGCTAGTGGGGGCGCACCTTTTGCAAGAAACGGCACTCTGATTGGGCGTGGCACCTACGTCACAGTGACGTCAGAAGAGGCGATTTTGGCACTTTTTCACCGATTTTCAAACTAACGGGGCAAAAAAGTGACAAGAGGTACAGACGGCCGAATAGGCTCAAACTGTGCCAAATTCAGTGGGGTAACTGAGAACCTTCGTTTGCACCAAGGTACCACCTTTCTGTTCCGAGTTATTTGGCACAAACCGAGTGGCACTGCTGCCGAAAAGTGCCAAAAACACACTTTGGACCGTAACTTTTGAACCATAAAAGTGACAGAACTGGGACGTGGCTCAAACGAAAGATCTCCGGGAGGTCCACGAGTGACCTGAGATTGGGCGTGGTTGGGCGTGGTCGTGACGTCACAGAGGCAAGCGAAAGTGGGCCCTGTTTGGGACCTCGGCACAGAGAGACCAAATGTGGTACAGATGTGCAAACCGTGACAAAGTGATCGCTATATGGTGGATTGAAAAGGGTGGGAACGGCGACTTGGTACCTTTTACGGTTGCGCCACTGTGTGCCAAAAACCAAAAAATAGGGTCAAAAACGGGGTGCCAAAAAAGTCTTTTGGCCATAACTTTTGAACCAGCGGGGGTACCACGACGCCCCTCATACCAAATGTTGCCCCTTTCAAGGGGCATCGTTGGGTGTGGTCGGTTTTGGATTTGGGCGTGGCTATGACGTCACAGCGACGTCGGAAAATTGAAAAAAAATTTGACTTTGAGGCCGAATAACTTTTTTTGTGTTTCAGTGTTGGGAAATCCAAACGTGCCAAAAAACTTTCCATCGAGTTGGCAATCCGGGCCTGTGGTCGAAAATCGATTGCCACATTTCCTTTGTGCCAAAAAGTGCCAAAAGTTAAAAGAGCCATAAAATTTTTGTTTTTTGCGAATAACTTTTTTCACAGACGTGGTACCCCCACCAACATACCACCTAAATGGATAGAGGGCGTCGCGGCGCATCTTTTGATGGTATGGTTGTTCCAAAAAAAGTTGAAGATAATGTGCCATTTTGGCACAAAGTTTGAAAATGTGCCAATTTCAGACGTTTTGGCCTATATCTCTGCTTGTGTAAATGGTACCTCAGCTTGCTATAGCTCATATGAAAGGGCGTCTCCAGGCGGTCAATTTGATGTATTTGGTTTTGGATTTGGGCGTGGCTGTGACGTCATAGTTACGTCACAATGGCGAATTTAGGCCCATTTTCAAAAATTTGTTTCTCTTTTGTGAAACCAGTGTTAGTGTGGGTACCACGTGGAAAAGATAGGTAAATTAGTGTTCTTTGATGGGGTGGAGTGTAATTTACGCTACCTGTCACAGTTTTTACAGAATTGGCACATTTGTAATGGCCGGTATTTGAAAAACGTTTAGGCCCATAACTTCCGTCATACATGAGGTACCTCGGATATTATTGCAGCAAACGAAAGATCTCGTCATTACCAATCGATTGGTGGTATTGGTTTAAGGGTTACACCTAGTAATGACGTCACTATGACCGGTTGAAGTTTTGGCACTTTTCAGTACTGTATCCTATATAGCCACTATACAGTTCCTATACAGTATATAGAGTATACAGTGCATTTCCTATAGGCTTTTCCTATACATTTAGGCCCATTGACTGTTTTGTTTACTTTAGCCTATTGTTTGGGCAAATAGCAGGTATTTCTATGGTTCGAAACAAACGGAAGTAAATTTCGATCCTTCTGCCTACTATTTGGAGTAAGAGGGTACATTTCCTATAGGGTTTTCCTATACATTTAGGCCCATTTGTTTACATTAGGCCCATTTTACAGGCAGATAGCAGGTTCTTCTAGGGTTCTCATTGCAAGGGGGCATTCATTAATCCTACTTCCTGGTCGGGGTAGGGGTACACATTGATTGTTGTAGGGGAGGGTGAAGGGTAGGGGAGGGGGAGGGGAAAATTGGAAGGGGGGAGAGGACTTTTTGGGAATAAAATAAACACTCTCTGATACACGGTTTATAATAGGGTCCACTTCTCTTGTGACAGCACAAAGACAGTTGCGGGTTCACACCACTCCCCCTGCCCCCTCTTTGCCCCCAGGGGATGTTCCACTGAGAGTGCGGAGAGTGGTGTGTTGATTTTAGTTCATTATATATATTCTATTTTTTTCATTTTAGTTGATTATATATATTCTATTTTTTTCATTTTAGTTCATTATATATATTCGATTTTTTCATTTTATTCATTATATATATTCTATTTTTTTCATTTTAGTTCATTATATATATTCTATTTTTTCATTTCATTTCATTATATATTTTCTATTTTTTTCATTTTAGTTCATTCTATATATTCTTTTTTTTCATTTTAGTTCATTATATATATTCTATTTTTTTCATTTTAGTTCATTATATTTTTTCTATTTTTTTCATTTTAGTTCATTATATATATTCTATTTTTTTCATTTTAGTTCATTATATATATTCAATTTTTTTCATTTTAGTTCATTATATATATTCTATTTTTTTCATTTTAGTTCATTATATATATTCTATTTTTTTCATTTTAGTTCATTATATATATTCTATTTTTTTCATTTTAGTTCATTATATATATTCCATTTTTTTCATTTTAGTTCATTATATATATTCTTTTTTTTATTTTAGTTCATTATATATATTCTATTTTTTTCATTTTAATTCATTATATATATTCTATTTTTTTCATTTTAGTTCATTATATATTTTCTATTTTTTTCATCTTATTTCATTTTATATATTCTCTTTTTTTATTTTAGTTCATTATATATATTCTTTTTTTCATTTTAATTCATTATATATTTTCTTTTTTTTTCATCTTATTTCATTTTATATATTCTCTTTTTTT